TAAATCTTGTGTTTTCTTTTTGTATCTTATATGTTTTTTAAATTATTTTGTATTTCTTGTTGGTTCTGCTGCATACTTTGAGAGACATCTATGATAATTGTGTTTCCTTCCTGTGCCATTTCCTATTCTCTTTGAAAGCACTGTAATAACTGTGTAAAAAGTAATGAGGGCTGCAAGGCAGCTGTAGGTTTACTTTGTATAGTATGCATGCCAGATTTGGACCTCAATTGTCTAGACGTCTGGAAAAATAAAGTCTTAGGCAAAGAATAAATTGAGCATGGCATATCTAAAATGTGCAGAGACACTCGTGTTACCCTAGGCAATTTTGAAAGTGGGAGGCAAAGAGAAAAGAATACCTGTTTTGCTTCAGAAAAATCTCGTGGGATTTTTTTTTTTTTTTTCCCTTTTAACAAGGTAATATACCAAATAAGGCTTTAATTGTTTGTGTAACACATCCTTTACTTGCAAGGTATTGAACAACTTCCTAAAATTTAAGATGATAGGATGTAAGATACGTAGCCACAGGAGCACAGTATCCACAGATAGAGTGATTTTTGGATCTGTATGTGAGGTAGGAACTTACCTGGTTTTGCTACTGTGTAAATTACAGTCAATGGCTGAAAGAACTAATTAAGTGTCCTTGAAGGGAATGTGTACTGTTTCAGAGGGCTGTCTCTGAATACTCTTAATACGGATATCTGTAATAGCAGAAAACTGTCATACAAGATTTATTCTGATCTCCAAAATAGTCCATCCATTTTGTTATCTTCAGAAAGGACTTGAGATTAAATGAGTTTAAAATGGAACCTCTGCTTATTCTTTGCTCCTCTATCTGTTCTGCACTGTCTCGTGTAGTAAGGCAAGCTATCATGGCCTATTTCTTTTTGTAATAACCACAGGGACCAGATCTATTTTGTGGCTACTTCAGAAGTATATGAAAGTGGACCTTTGCCACTGGAGACATACTTTTAGTATGGCCATCAATGTTTGCCTGGATCTCTGGGTTGCAGCATCTGCACAACCTCCCTTTAAAAAAGGAACATTTGTTTTTAAGTAAACTTTTACATTTCTTCACTAAATCAGGTTTTTTCCCGATCAATAATCATCTGCTTCTCTTTTGTACATTACACTTCATTATGGGATTTTCCTCCCCCTCAAAGAAGATGCTTTTGTGGTTAAAGTACAGTACTGGATTTCAGGAAATCAAGAGAGTTCAGTTTCTGGTTCAACCACAAATTTCCTGTGTCATTGCTTACTATATCTCTGCCTTGGTTCCCCGCAGATGTAGTGATGACGCTTTATACATTTTCAGGTTAGCAGGGCCCATCTTGATCATTTAATCTGATACTCTGCAGAACAGAAACAAAAAAAAATTAATTGCTTGCAGAAATTACAGGGTTTGTTTCTGCTGTAACATCTTGAAAGGTTTAACCAGACTTGATTTTGTTCAAGAATCCATTTTCCCTAGAGAAACATTCTCACCACTAAGTCTTCAGTGGTAATGGTTTTTTAATTATTATTATTTTGAGTTTTACCTAAAAGTTTGCTCTTTTTCCCAGAAGCAGAAGACTTGGTTAAGTAAAATTTTTAGACATTTCTTAATAGTTTTCCTTGGCTAATTAAAGATGTCCCTTAGTCAACCTGAGTGTTAACACAGCTCATTCTTCGGGTTAAGGAGGCCCTAAATGGTTTGATTCACTATGCATGTATGGATCAACTGTACTGTGCATGCAAAATAGCACCGTATTTTCAGAATACCTGTATTGTAAGGGTTTATTCCTTATTTGCTTCCAGAGTTAGATGGCCAGGACTAGGTTTCTGCAGTTTAATGCAGTGTCATTTTCTTTTGTAGAAACAGTTTGGAAAACGTTCCTTGGAACTGGGCTTGAGGTGGTCCTTTCTTGCCCTAAGGTTTTACTGCGTGCATGTGTAGCACAGCATGTGTCTTGAGCCAAAACCAGTGGATATGGTGCAAACTTTTGCAAAAGCGTTTTCAGGGAAGCTGGCCAGTAGAAGCAGGCTGCTAACCACAAACTGAATACCCTCTCCGTGATGAGTTCTTTAGGCCTCTCATATTCGTTCTGAATTTTTGTTCTGAACCCTTTTCACTGTTTAGATTTGGCAGTTATAACTATATGCAAACAGTTTTGTCAATATAAAACCACAGTTACTGTTACCTCTTATTTTTGCTAATAATTTGCTTCAATATGTCCAAATATTACACTTCTATTTCAACAAGAAAGTTCCACTGAGACTCAGCTGGAGTCAACACCCTCCCATGTCTGCTAATGGAAGGCCCATCTGAGCACTCCTTTATCCTCTTTAGTCATACCTTAGTTTAAAATGCGGAAGAAACTGCATGTGTGTTAATCTTACTGACTTTGCTTTAAGCAGGTTATGGACTACTTTGCAGCTCTGCCAAGAAGAAGAATCATAAGGACAGTATGTTATGACAAGACATAGTGGCAAGCATCGAGGCACCAACTCTACGCTGCAGGCTCTGCAACTAGCATGGGGGTTTTTGGTTGGGGTTTTGTTTTTTCAAGTATTTTTTCTGAATTTTTACTTTAATGCAATTAGTAGTCTGCAGCTTACTGAAGCTTCGATTGTATTAAAATGGAAGTTGTTCAACTAAGTGTATTTCTAGGCAATTCATTTTGTTTCTTATGATTGATCTGTCACTATCATTATTTATTGTTCCACTATGTTTCTGTCATCACAAATGCTGTCTAAAATTATATTTTCTTTCAATCACTTAACTGCTTATGAAGCTATAGAACAACACAAGGTTGCAGAGTGATGCCTTTGATACTCAACTAGAAATACCTGTTGAATTTAACAATTTGTCATATGTGGGCTGTTCTGATTTTCTTCATCTCTCCTGTGAAATTCTCATTTATCAGAATGATAAGCAAGACTTCTGTCTTACATAAGTCCTCTGTGTCACCACAATTATTTTGTCAGCCCAAATAATGACCCCATTTAAAGGCATGGAGGCTGGGAATAGCCTATTTTCTTCAGAAGTGACTAGAATGATGCTAATTATATACTTGTCTGTTATTTTCTTATTTGTTAATGACCACAGAGTCCTCCCCAGACAATTGCTTCTCGGTATTCCTGGATAGCTAGTTATAACTTTCATTCTCTTACTTGGTTTCATTTTCTTAAACAGCACTTCTTTTCCAACTGTCGTATTATTTTATTTTTGGAACACAGTATTAGGCTGGTAATGTTCTGATGTCTGGTGATAATTCAAGGCATGTCTGTTTAATTCTAATAATTCGTTATTCTATTCCAAAACAATGTACCTTAGTTCATCTTAAATTTCCTTCAAAGTGCAGCCCCATTTACACCTTGACTTAGCCTTGAAAATAGGTAAAGAAATGGTATGATATTCTGCTCTTATTCCATCCTGCACTGATTTCTATATAATTTCTCACACTATGTATGTGCCTTCTAGGGGCATGTTAAGATATGTGGTATAATTTTTTTCCTCTGCATTTAGGAAAAGAATTACTTGTCTGTGCAGGATATTGGGTGGTTGCTAGAGGTGGCAAAGTAAGGAAAAGAGTACCTTGTATCACAACAGAAGATTATAAAACTTATAATAATCTTTAGTTTCTCATAGTCTTAAGAAATAGAAGTGGGAGAGGCTGCAGAGGTTGTTAGTCTATCGTTGCTCCTTCTTCTTTCTTCCCAACAGAATCAACTTGATCTAAACTACTCTGATGGCTGTTGCCATCAGGATTCTTTACACAGTATTCAGACAGACCTGTAAAAGTTTTCTCTCTTGCAAAGATAAAGTTTACTTACATGGTAAAAAAATTTAGATCCCAGTAGGGGGGTTGACCTGTTGATTTCAGCCCTAATTGTGATGCTTTTTTTCTCTTTTTTTTCTGTCCCAGACCACTGAAACTATTAACAAAGGAGTAAAACTTTAATTTTGTGTGAGAAGACAATACAAAAAGCATATGAACATGTTTGGGATATTTAGGTAGCCTTGCTGCTGCAGAGAAGAAAGGAATTCCTAATGTAGGGGTTTAAGAGGAAAGGACTGAAAAAGATGACCTTAAGCCAGACACTCAAGATTCACCTGAAAGACTTAAGCATGCATGTTTAAAGCTTTGTTTGTGTGTGTGTTTGTTTAAATTCTCTAAATATTATTTTCGTTCTACACCCCTCTGCCCATTATCCCCTCTCTTATCCTTTCCTATCAGGGAAAGCACCTGCACCTTCTAATCACCTCACCGCACCCCCCGCTCCTTGCCCCAAGTTTCCTCTCCCCACTTCTCTGTGTCCCCTTTTGCATTAATCCAGGTCTTTGAATTCTGTAAGGAAACTGTATTTATTAGGTAAATTCGATAAAAAGTCATCCCTTTTCAAGTTAGTATGTGAACTGAACTGCAGAATCTGCAACTTCATACAGTGGAGACACCAGTAATTTGTTACTCATACCTGGGATATTTATTGCTACTGTGTTTAGGAAATCACAAAAAATTTTGTTTGAATAGGTTATTCTCTCTGTAGGCATATAGGCACTTTAGATATGAATATATATTTATATTCATATGTATGATATAATGTATATGCATAGTACATCTATATACCTACACACACAGAGGCACACCCATTGTCATATGCCTTTTAAGTAGCACTGGATGATATGCTGCCAGGAAAATTTACATTGTTTCTGCACTTCTAGATAAGGCTCTAAATTGCCGGTGGTACCAGCTGTGCCTAAATTGAAAGATAATGAGAAACGGTAATAGCAAGCTGCTACATAAATAAATAGTTGAAAGTGAAAGGAGGAAGGTAGATTGAGCAAGCAGCTCATGAGAAAGTATTCATTTCCAAAATGCAGCACAGAAAGAAGAAAGCTAAATGGAGACTGAATCGTAGACGTTCACTCTGTACATTAAGTTTAATGGTTGTATCAACGGCTTCATATGACAGGAAATGATCTGGGCGTTTTGTTCACTTATTCTGGATGCCCTTAGTTTCAGAGAGCAACTGGTAACATGGATTGCACCTCGGAAGGGGACAGCTGAACTCTCCCTCTGGCTTTAGTGAGGAAAGAGCAGCGATGAAATCCGTGGACTGTGTGCACGTCATCCAGCAGAAGGATACCGCCTCCTCTCCCTCTGCCCCCCCTGGTGCTGCTTCAGGCACCACGGGACTTTTTTCTGTCACATTCCTGTGGCTTGCAATGCTCCTGTCCTCTTGTCTTGCAGCAGTGTCTCTTTACCATGTTATCACCCTGAAAACAGAACTAGAAGCTCTGCGCAGTGAGCTGATCTACAGGGTCCAGGCAAGGTCTTCGCTAGACTGGCCACCCGTGTCCCCTGATGAAAACAAAGTGGGTACCCCTGTCGCTTCCTTCCTGCAAGTGTCTGCAGCTGGAGCCAGGCAGGTAAGCTGGAGGGGTGGTTTTCAGTGTGCAGGGGATGAGCAAATGTGAGGCTGATTTCACTGACTGTCTCTTCTCCCTGTTAGGAGAACAGGCTTCCTGGTCCCGGCCCAGCTGAAAGCTTCCGAAAGGAAATCTGGAATGGGAGCAGAAACAGGGGGAGAAGGTCTGTTGTCCACACAGAAGAAACAGGTAAGTAGCATCCACTGGAGTGGGCTGGGGTGGCACAGATGGATACTGTCTTGAGAAAAGCAGCAGTACTTGACTCACATCTTCTCCTATCGGACGATCCATGCTCCCAGAGCCCATTCGGGTTTTTACAATTACTGCTGAATGAATGGTGTTAACTGTAGGCATATTCTCTTAGTAGTTACTGTCCTGTTTAAGGTGCCAGACATTCATGCTATCTGTAGGTTGAACTATGAACATTAGACCCCAAATCTGCTTCTTTTAACAGAGGTGTTTCTCGATGGTGCAGTATAGTTGAGTAAGGCAACTTTAAATTCTTCAGATTGTAAATTGCTCAATTCTAAATCCATCATTGTCAGTTCAGGGTAATGCCTAACATGTTTCTCTCTGATTAACAGTAGGGAGGGAAAGCTATTATTAAAAATGCAAAGTCATTTTTTTCTGGGAAAGCATGCTCATCCTAAAAGAAAGAAGTAACAAGAAAGCTCCTTAACTTTAGGGAAGTAGGAGCTTTCAAAGAGAAAGGCTGGCTTGTACCTGTCAAAAGAAGCAGACTACAAAGAATTCAGTTTAGCATAATTTCTGCATTAAAACCACCTATTAATATAATTAGCAAAATTAATAAAGACATGCCTATCCAGTAAGATTTTTTTTCTATCATGACCTTTTTAAAAGGTGCTGCAGAGAACACTGAAGACTGTGCTCCATAAAAGACCTCTGATGTGTATTATAATGTTGGAATATTAATGGGATATGTTTGTTTCCTGTAAGGATAAAATGCCCACATTTTTTTTCTATTTCTCTTTCCAAACACAATGATGTCTGACAGGATGAAGTACAGAATTCTATTATGACAGTTTGCATACATAATCTTATTGCACTGAGTACCTGAAAATGTTCCTGAGTTGATAAATAAGTTCAATCCTCTTACGTATCCTTTTAGATTGTTTTAACTGATGAAAGCTGGTATCATAAATTATTCATAGATGAAATTGAAATTTGTAGGTAACAACTAAATCAAACTTTGCTTAAAATGAGCTTTTGAATGACTAATTAATGTGAAATGTATTTCACTTAAGCATCAGCAAGCTAAATGAAATTTAAGTTCTAGAGTATAATCACTGTACTTACCTCCAAGTCTCTCAAAAGAGAGTATTCATCTAGGATATCACCCAAAATCCAGAGGTTTAAATGGGATTTATTCTGTTTCATTAGTAATCTTTGGTTCAGGATTTTGGCTAAGAGCAATTTCACAAACAGGACTAAGGACAAGATTGCTTAAATTGTATTTCTTGTAGCCTGTTTCCTATCATGGGAGTCACAGAGCTTCCCTGCTCTCTTCACCCTGGCATCTCCCAAATAAGTTAGTCATCTTTTATACCTAAAGCACAAGTATCCTCAAAACTAAGGAGGCATGTCTTTTTTAAAATGAATGGTATAGCATCAGTACTCTGCAAGTTATTCAGTTCCCTTCACAGTAGCTTTCATCTTTATTCTTACTGCTATTTGACGGTGTATGGGGAGGGGTTTGGGTTCCTCAGGTGTGCTTTTGGCAGACAGAAGGTTCTTTTCATCAGTTAGCCATCTCTGATTATACCTATTTATCTTTCTTCACATAAAATACTAATTAAGCTACTTATTTCTGTAAATTATTTTTTTGAAGATATGGGTGGCTTTCAAATTGTTTAGGATGGATAACAGAAAGCACAGAATATACACATTCATTTAAAAGGGAAAAGCTACATAGGTTGACCTACTACGAAACTCTTTTCTAACACGACCATCATATTTTTGTATACAAAAAAGAAAAAAAGTAAATTACAAATCTTGCATTTAGATAAAACGTCATCTGCCAGACAGGGTCACCTTTCTGCCTCCTCTAATTGCAACAAATTAAACTTGTCAGAATTCAGTAAGATGCTACATTTTCTCAGATCAGATTTCACTGATGGCCATGAACCTACTGGTCAGTGTTAAATTTTGTTTTAGCAGTGTGAGTGAAATAAGGGAACATGGTGTTGTTCATGGTGCTGAATCCTGTCTATTCCTTGGTCATGTACATAGAATTACTAGCCCTGCATTTTGATCTCCTCACATCCATTTCTAGGTACCAGAATCTTGGTAGCCACCAAATTGTCCTGCAGATGTGCTGCACTCATTCTGGTACAATGGCAGATAAAATAGAGTATTGAGTGCCTTGTTCTTCTTCTATTTCTACTTGCTTCAACAAGGTCTCAAAGTAAAGTCTGGTCTCATAATTAATTGTTGACACATAATTTCACTTTAACATGGACCAATTCCTTAGAAAGTGAATACTCATAAATGTCACTGACATACAATTGCTTCTCTTGTGCTTCATCAGAGAGCAGATGTAAAATATAGAATTATAATTTTGTTTATAAAATTGTGGCTCAATTCTGTTTTCTTTTTAAACTTTAATTATTAAATTTCAGAAATAGATGCCCCATGATTCTTTTTAGGCCCAGCACAGCCCTTCTTGAACATATGGGATTTCCATTTTAATTTTTTTTTTTTCTGTTTGCTTGATGTTGTATGCATAAAAGTGGCCACAAATTAAATTTTAATTAAAATGACAGTCAAATGAAAATGGATCTGACACAGTATTGTTCTTTCATATTTATATGGGGTATGCATTTGTCTCTTTTCATGCGTAAAACTATTAGTCATCAGTAGTTACCCATTTTGTGTCTCGGGAAAATTTCCAGCTCAAGTAGGTTGAAGAGATGGGTTTCAAGCATAAGTTCCAATTAAAGCTGTACAGTTATCAGTCAGAACCAGAGTTCTTGATACAACGAGTGGGAGTTAATGGGCGATTTTGAAAGATACAAATTATTAATGTGCAGGGATAGATCATCTAACCACTTCTGGCAAATGTCAGGACATGTAAGAACAGATGTAATTTTTCTTATTTGTCTTTCTTTTTATACATTTCCCCTGTAGAGGAAAATCGCTACACAACAAAAACCTCTCCTGAGTTTTACACCCTGTTCACAATTATTGGTTGCCTTGCCTGCATGTTTCTCTCTAAGCTGTACGTGCGCTTGAGCCCGGGAACAAGATATAGGTTCCATTACCTAAGCCAGTTCGATGTACGAATGTCAAGTTTCAACTACACACTCTCTCTGTTCCTTGTTCTGATCATTACTGTGGGATTCCGATTCCCACAGTAATGCCAACTAGGGAGATGAGCATCAGGTCTTCTGTAAACTCAAATTCAAGCAACGTTCTGCTGTTATCAGATTGTAGCACCCATGGACGACATTTACTTTGGTATATTGAGGTTTCCTTCCATACATGTGGTCAGACTGGTGAGATGGAACTGAGGAGAAATTCTAAGTAATTCCACAAAGCAGTGAGGCAGGCTAACCTGGCATGTGACTTGGCAATTTTTCTTTTGCTAGCGATTCCTGGGTTCTACTCTGATATCAATTGTGTCCATGGGAAATAATTCTTACCATGAAAGCATGGTGTATAATGTGGGTATTTTGCCATTGTTCTTGGTATAATTGCCTTACTGGCAAATTGGTACATTTGTTTGTTAGAAGCGTTTTGACTCTGTATATTGTTGGTTTAGTTCTCTGTGACCGAGCAACAGCAAGAACTTTTACAAGTGGAACTTGACTTTAGTGACCTCTGAATCAAGAAACCCAACCTTTGGTTACTAGTTTAAACAAATGCCACAGATAAAATTCCCTCACCAAATATTCAAAATACTTCTTATTTTATTGTTTGAAGAGGGGAAATATAAGAGTTCTCTTAATGAAAAAAAAAAAAGGAAAGCCTACTTCTTGGAAAGATATGTTTTTCTTTTTTGTTTCTGCTGACAACAGTCTAACTGAAAAGGAAGTAGACCTTTGTATGTGAAAGGACAGAAAATTACTTGATACAATGCCTCCAATTTTAAATGAAGAATTACACTTACTGAAGGAATGAATCAGTGCTGTGTATTATGCAAAATGCTGGGCAATCAAGAATGCACAAAATAATCTCTAATTTTTAAAAACAATATTCTGCTTTATACTGTATAATAGAAGCCTACATAAACTAATCTCAATTCTTAGTAAACAATTTCATAGAATCATAAATTGTGTTGGGTTGGAAGGGACCTCTAAATGTCATCTACTCCAACCCCCTTACAATAAGTAGGGACATCTCTAACTAGATCAGGTTTCTCAGAGACCCATCAAGCCTGACCTTGAAAGTCTCCAGGGATGGGGCTTCTACTACCTCTCTGGACAACCTGTTCCAGCGATTAAAGAACATTTTCCTAATGTGCAACCTAAATATACCCTTTTCTAGCTTAAAACCATTACCCCTCATCCAGTCGCTACAACCCCTTGTGACCAGTTCTTCCCCTGTCTTCTTATAGGCCCCTTTCAGGTACTGGAAGGCCGCTATAAGGTCCCCCCAGAGCCTTTTCTTCTCCAGGCTGAACAATCCAAACTCTTTCAGTCTGTCTTCATAGGAGAGGTGCTCCAGCCCCCTGATCATCTTTGTGGCCCTCCTCTGGACATGCTCCAACAGGTCCACATCTTTTTGTGTTGGAAGCTCCAGAGCGGGATGCAGCACTCCAAGTGAGGTCTCACGAGGGCAGAGAGGCAGAATCACCTCTCTTGACCTGCTGGCCACACTTCTTTTGATGCAGCCCAGAAGGTGAGTGGCCTTCTGGGCTGCAATTGCACATTGGTGGCTCATGTCCAGCTTTTCATCCACGAGTACCTCCAAGTCTTTTTCCACCGGGCCCCGGGCTCCTCTCGGCCTTGTCTTCCCCCAGCCTGTATGGATACCAGCAGTTGCTCTGGCCCAGGTGCAGGACCCTGCACTTGGCCTTGTTGAACCTCATGATGTTCACCTGGGCCCACCTCTCCAGCTTGTCGAAGTCCCTCTGGATGACATCCCATCCCTCTGGCATATCGACTGCACCACCCAGCTTGGTGTCATCAGCAAACTTGCTGAGGGTGCACTCAATGCCACTGTCTATATCATTAACGAAGATATTAAACAACACTAGTTCCAGTACGCACCCCTGAGGGACACCACTTGTCACCATTTTCCATCTGGACATCGAGCCATTGACCACTACTCTCTGGATGTGACCATCCAGCCAATTCCTTATCCACTGAACAGTCCACCGATCAAACCTGTATTTCTCCAACTTAGAGAGAAGGATGTTGTTGGGGACTGTGTCAAAGACCTTGCAGAAGTCCAGATAGATGACGTCTGTATCTCTTCCCTTGTCCACTGTTGCAGTCCATTGTAGAAAGCCTCTAGGTGATCAGGCAGGACTTGCCCCTAGTAAAGCCGTGTTGACTGTCTTGAATCACCTCCCTGTCCTCCATGTGCCTTAGCATATATTCTAGGAGGATCTGTTCCATGATCTTCCCAGCCACAGAGGTGATGCTGATTTTCCTTGTTATTCTGATTGTAGCTTGTTACTGGTAATTCTTTTAAAGTCAAAATAACACTACCAATACTTTGAAGATACTTGTTAGATCTGAGTCATATCTGTAACTATGACCAATCCATTTTAATGCAGGGACTGATATAGTCCATGAATAATGTCATATAAGGACTTCTTAATTAAAAAGCACCCAACTAACCAGTCTATAAAAATGCACAAGTAAAAAGTAAAAGAAGATCTCTTGTGATGAGAAATGAAGAAGTTAAGGGAAGAAGAATTGCAAATTGTTCAAGAACATGCATATCATTTGTAAACTGAATTTAGTGTTTAAGTATGTGTCAGGAAGTCTACAGAGAACAGGTCTAGACCAAAGACGGAACCTAAACAAGCAGGTCTGTTTTTTAAAGTTCAGAGTTTTTGCTTCTTTTTATTTCAACAAAAATAGACATAGACGTCTCAGGCCTCAGATACTGAAACTTTAAAATTTATGTATGAGCTCACAGATAATAAACTTGACATTTTGTTTGGATGGATTATGAGGTTAGCTTGAAAAATATTAAAATTATTATGTAAGTTAAATAATACAAAAACTTACATGGGAGGGCAAATTTGATTTTATCGATATCTGATCTTAAATCATGCAGATATGCAGAAGGCTGTATTCTTATCCTGCTGCAAAAGCTAGCTTTTTTTAAAAAAATTGTGGTTACATTGCTCAACTGGTGGAGAACACATCCTTCATGTGCTGGCTGTGGTTTTTAAAGGCATTTGGAGTCACTAACTTCTTCAGAATTGGCTGTTCAGTTCATAGAAGAAAACAGGCTCTCAAATGTTCTGCCCACCCACACCCCACAGGGTGGTTAAAATCAGGAAAAAAAAAATTCTCATCAAAGCAAAGCTATTATATGAAGTCACAAGAGGATGGGGCACACTATTGTTCTAGATACACTCTGTTTTACACAGCAAGACCTCACGGTGACACTCAGTCTAGATATTGTCACACACTTTAAAGATGTATTTTATGAATCCTGTATTCTGCGCACATCGTTAATTATTCAAAAATCCTTTAGACTACAGAGCTGATGCTCAGGTTCTATTTACACTAGGCTGAAAGGCATTCCGGTGGAGCTTTTTGTTCTGTTCAGATGCTTTTCTGATAGTAACTATTCAACCCATATTTTGTAATGCATATATTCTTGAAATTGTACATCAGGTAAGATTTGAGTCCTTCTTGGAAGAGAATTGCTAACATTTCTTCACAATGTTAACTTTTCACTGAAAATCCCTGTTAATTTACGCAGAAGATACACTCGGTATATCCGTATGTTCTCCTTAATAGCACTGTTGTCTACTCTGTATTTGTTTCAATGAATTACTTAATAGGGAGTAATTCAGGGAATTCAAATGTCTTTAAATTCTTGGTTTGAAAATCTATAGATTTTGGCACGTTATTGATGAGTATTGATAGAACACAGGGACAAGTTCCAGTGTAGGAAACGGGATCTTGCAGGACAGCGTTCCTGTTAACATAAGTAGGGCTCACAAGTTGTGTGGTCACTGTGACATTGCAGTGTTCCCAGATGTGCACTTGAATCTTTGTCTGCTGCCAGTTGGCACTGCAGAGTGCTGGTGAGCATCCAGCCGTCTTCTGGTATTTTCAGGCAGGGCCCCTTGGGAAGGAGACTTAGATACAGAGAGAGGCTGCTTTCTACTCAAACCCTCTCACTAACTACTGTGCAGCAAGAGGTTTGTGCTGCTGGGCACTTGGTTGCACACGTGGGTACCACTGGCAAATGTAGAAACAAGATCCCATGGGTAGGGCACTGCCCATTATAGCAATAGTGGCCAAATCTCACCCACAGCCTTGTTACCTGAAAAGGGGTAAACAAAAATGGAGATTCAGCAATCCACGGCACAACTTTCTTCTCTTGACTCTTTCTAAATTCTTTGGGTTGCTGTCAGGTGCAGTAAATGTTACTACTCTCTTTTCCAGCTTTCAAAGTAGCACTAGAACCAGATGTTTTCAGTAAAATCTGCTCCAAGCAAATGCAATTACCCTTTCTTTTATCCTGTTCCCTGACATTTACGCTTAGCAGATTTTTTTTGAAAGATCTTTGTTTCACTTGCGAGCCTATGTTTTAACATACCGCAATATTTTTCTCTGATTAAACTCCTAGTTTCTCATTAGTGTTGCCAGTCTCTATGGTTTTGAGTAACGCATGAGTTTTGGCAGATACGAGGCTGTTTGTTATGTGTACATTTAATTTGCTAACAGTCATCTCTGTATTTTCCTTCTTAGTCTCAGCATAAGTTGATTAAGTGTGCGTATCTGAAAACATATTGAAAGTGTATATATATGTGGATTTTGAGAATTTATTTTGAAAGTACCATGTAACCAGTATATATGACTAATATTTTATAGCAACTATGACTGGAAACTAACTTCTTTAAATAATATAGTAAACATCATTAGAAAATCTGATATCTGTCGTAGCTGGCAGGGTGGGGTTTTTTTGAGCTTTTGCTTAGAAAATTAACAAGGCTAATTGATCTGATGATTCCTAGCTCTTTTGACTTACTGCTACAGTTTTCAATTATATTAGAACCAGAGATTAAAACAAGGAAGTATTATTGGTGCTACTATCTGAGGCCTCCTGCTTAGGTGCATGATCTCTGAATTTATTGAGTATGTGTTGTGGTATGAATGTTGTTTTGGCATGTTAGAGTAAGATCTGCGTTAAAATCAATAGATTATGTTTTCAAATACGTGGTGAGACCGAGAGAAGGGTTGTTTTTTTTTTTCACGTCCTTATTTTTTTTTAAAGCAGTTTCAAAAGCTTACTCTATTCTACTACTGATTGATATTTCTTTAATTTGAAAATGCTTTCACTTTGCAGTGCTGCAGGCCTGCTTGCAACTTATCGCTGACAGCAAAAGTGATATCCAACAGAAAGGTAAGAATATGTTCCGTGATTTATAGCTAACTATTCCATGCATTAACTCTTCCATCCAATTTTATCTAGCTTCAAAGCAGTAATTGAGTTATGTCACCAAATTAAAAGGAAAAAATAATGAAAAAAAAAAAAAAAAAAGGTCCCTGCATCTGGACAGCTCTTGCAAATATCCTCTTTTCAGTGGGGAAATCCAGCTAGTGAGACTGGAAGTCTTGACCAGAAGTCAGCTTTGTTAATTATTGGCAGATGAAAATGAAGAAAGTAAATTTTCTTTCTGATTACTCAAAAATTATTGTTTCTTTTAGATGATTCAAGCATTGTCCCTTGGCTTCTGAGCTTTAAACGTGGAACAGCTCTGGAAGAACAAGGAAATAAAATAGTGATCAAAGAAACAGGATATTTTTTCATATATGGCCAGGTGAGAAAGCTCAATTAGCTTCAGCTTCTTACTTTTAAAGAATTTTTTTATGTCTTCATACAGTATGTTTGAAGTCTGCACCTCTTAATTCTGTAGGTTTTATATACCGATACGACATTTGCTATGGGACACCTAATACAGAGGAAGAAGGCCCACGTGTTCGGTGATGATCTCAGCTTGGTGACATTGTTTCGTTGCATCCAAAATATGCCACAGTCTTATCCGAATAATTCTTGCTATACTGCTGGTAAACATTTAAGTTTTCCTTTTCTTTGTTTGCAAATAAACTGTATCAAATAGAATCTGTAGTGTTGGGTGATTAAGTATTGTGGAAGTTGTAAAGAAAATGGACTGCATTCATGGATCTGGTTAGTTGCAAAATTACAGAACACTTTCAAAAAATACGGTTTTGTATAAAGTATCATCAGTTGGAAGGCATGCATCTAACTTAGGTGATCTGAACAATTCCCCTCTCTCCATGGAGTATATAATGTGGTTAGATACTTTGGTGCTTTCAGTAAGATGCCTGAAGCAGACAAAAGCGGAACATACTCTCCTTATGTATAACTTAGGGGTTGAATTCCATATTTAGTTACCCCAATAGAATATTTAGGAGCTATGTTCTGCTTTAAAATGTCATATATGAATTCTAACCACCCAACTTTTGCATACCTTACTATGGGATTTCCAAAGGTATTTTGTATCGGCTTGATTCTCTACTTTTTATAATGGCTGCTGCAGTTTTACTCTCTGGTTAGACGAAAAATAGTTAATTCTTATAAGGAGCTCTTTTTGACTGCACAAATTAGAAACACTACAAGAAAGACCAATTAAAAATAATTAAAAAAAAATATTTAATGCAAGTCCAGCAGGCTCAATGCTCAATGTATGTATATTCCTGCAGTAGCATTTAAGGAGTTATTGTCAAGGCCTATTAAACCTCGTTCGGTAGCTCTTATCTGTCTGTCTTTCCCCCTTCATGGTGGATTTGAGGGGTTTCTCTTTTTTTATTTTCCAGCAAGGTCTGTGTGAATAAAAGCCTTTTTTTCAATGCCTTATAAAAAAGTGGGTGACATTGAGTGATGGAGTTGACTATAGGCAGTAATGGCAGTAAACAAGAGGGATGGGGAAGGAAGCTGATTTATTTTTATTTGGGAAAAATTTTGGCAATTGAGGCTGTCCAAAAACTTTCTTTAACTTTCTGCCCCTCCACTCACACATTTTGGCATCATAACCACCTTCAATTTCATCTATCCTCTTATTTCACCCTTGTATTACACCCCTCTCCCCCTTTCTTAACTAGGATCTCTGCTCCGTTCTGACGCTTCACGGTTCCTGCTTCCCAAATTCCCACCTTTCTGCTTTCACATGGAAAACCAAATCTCACTGCAATATCTCGTGCTGTTGAGCATGTGTCGCAGCAGATGTTAGATGTGCTCTCAGCTCAGTGACTGCAACTTGAAGGCAAGGTGCTTTCGGTTATCATGTCAGCTGATGCGCGCTGGCAGGAAGCAGCCTTTTGTGCTCTGCAGTTCCAGTGGATCAGCTGATGTCTGGTAACTTCATTTGGCTGGTAAAGCTCATGAGACCTTCCCCAAAAGTGTGGGAACCGAGTGGTCTAGGACCAGCAATACCCAATGCTGACCTTGACTGTCACATCAACATAACACGAGGAATCTGGGTACACCACCGTTACGAATTTTTGCAACGTTTGCTGAAGTGAACTGTGATATGCTGAGTGCAGAGTGGAAAGTAGGTCTAGCTCCACAGAGGATGTTAAGTGTCAGCTTTGGGTAGGCTGCAATTTGTAAGACTGTGCCTAAAGATAAAAAAGCACTCATCACAACTAACAAGCCATGCTTATATTTGTAAGATGATGTGTGATGACTTTTTGAATACCGTTTATGAAAATACTGTATTTTAAGTATTAACTTAAAAATATTCCAAATCTTTTGCCAGGCATTGCAAAATTAGAAGAAGGGGATGAACTTCAACTTACAATACCACGGAGAAGTGCCAAAATATCCTTGGATGGAGATGGTACTTTTTTTGGTGCAGTTAGACTCCTCTGAGGCTCTTCATTTCTGTTATTATGCTTAATGCAGTTTTCTTCTTTTCCTATGCCTTTGTCAGAAAAAATACTGAATTGTAATAAAGCTGCCAATTCAGTCTCTCCCCATCTGCCACCAGCTTCTGAGAACTTTTCTTCGCTTTAATAAGTGAACCCAAAACAGGAAACACACCAGACGTACTTGTGAGATGTAACCATTATGTGACTGGGAAAGCAAATATATTGTAGACAATGGGTGACTCTAAATAAGAGCTGTAAAGCAATGTTTTTTCAGCTTTGAAATAATTTCTTGTCCATAAGGCAAATCAAAGAAGCTGACCATAAAATATAGCATAAACAGGACTATTGACTATCGAATTATTATTCATAATTGGAAAGAAAAACTAAAACACAAGTACCTCTCATATTAGATTTGCTTTGTTTCATCAATAACATATTTGAAGACTAAAATATGGGTAAGAAATACCAAACAGTAGATTCCTCATCACAAAGTAGAAGTGTCAGGTGGATTCGGGGTGGGTTTTTTTGGTTTTTTCTTTGACATCAAGATTTTGGGGAAGGAAAAAGTCTAAACATATGTGTGCAGAGAAATGCTAGGCTTGTAAGGCTCAACTTAAGCAAAATGAAGCAACATGTTTATCATGCCCTGGATAAAGCAAGGATGAGAGCTGAGCAACAATCTGGTAAAAAACAGCAAAAGGTTAGGAATGCTGGTACTATCTGCTTCTCCCTTCTACAAACCTTGAGAGGGGAGATAACAGCTGAAAGAAGGAGTCTTACAGCGGTAAGACAGCTCTGTTTGGCTAAAGAGTGAGGAACCAAGCAGAAATACAGTTTCAGCACAAAACTTTGAAGGCTACGATGCCTGGAATGAAATCTTTGCTTAATTATCTAGAGAATTAATATTACAGTTAACACTGCTGCATCTGTTAATGACAATTACAAAGATCATGCTAAACATATATGACTATGTTACTCAACTCTCCGCCTAAATCATGTCATACGCAACCTGACGGAGGGGAAACAAAGAATTAGAGACTAAAAAGAGAACATGGTGTAAAAATTGGAAGAAAGGGACTGAAGACCTAGAAGAGACAGTCGACGGGCTGTGCTCCTCTTCCTCTACCCAAGATAGGGAAGTCTTCTTGGTAAGAATTCCGCCTTCGCCCCTGGAGAAGAATACCCAGCCAGCATTATTATACTATATTAGCGCTATTGCAGTAAGTGTATTTATCAATGGCAATTCCATACCTGTTATATCTGTCACCTTAATAAATTGCCTACATTTGCAACTTTGCGAAACTGTTTCAGTGAAAGTCCCTGAGAAGGCTCTGAAAGGCAAACGTTGACTCTAACACGTGGCTTGCGAAACTGCCTCAGTGAAAGTCCTTGAGAAGACTCCTACAGGCAAATGCTAAATCCATACTCTTAACATGAAATCATAGAATCATAAGGTTGAAATAGACCTCTGAGATCATCAAGTCAAAATGAAAAGTCTAAATGTGTGGGATAATGAAAACAAACTCCTTAGAAATATACAGATTAGTAGCCGCTGACTTGCTTCTTCCCTGTGAACAAAAGGTGTATAAATTACTAAAATCTATTAGTATTTACTAGTTAGAATTAATTTTATTGGAAAAAGCTTCAAAAGCTCAATCTTCAAAGCAGTGCTACTCATCAAGGAATATGTGTATACTTCTGTGGCAGGGATAGAAAGAAACATGGTGAGATTAGACACAATACAGTAGGTGGAATTGGATTTCTGGCTTCATAATTTCTGCAGTCATATATAGGTGTTGTGTATATATATACACAGTATATATATGAAAGTATGTACACACACATATATAAGCCTTTGACATTTGGGCATAGAATTTTATCTTCTTTTGAATATTTTATCAAATGGAAATATTACTGCATACATTTTTTTTTATTTCTCTTACTTTTTGCTATGATCCATTCTATGCAATATAGTAAAAAGAAAAATCCAATAAACCTGGAACCAGCCACACAGCTAAGAAAATATACTTGTTTCCCAGAAGCCTGGGCTCAATCCCTTGGTTAACTATAGGCTTTTCCTGCGGTTTTGAATATACTGCTCTATTCTGTTTTACAAAAAATATCAGACCTGTAGAAAGACTAAACAGATGTCTTTTTTTCTTTTCTTTTGTCTGTCTGCTTTGTTCAGTAGAGAAGATTTATGTCTTCTTTACCCCAAGAGTCCATGTGCATTGCATGGCCAAGGTGATAGTGTAGTCAAGACTTGTAGGAGCTATTGAAATACTTATTCTACTGATCTTCAAAGAAGTATTGAAGTGCTACTGGAATAGATAACGTAATAAAACCCAGAGTAATGAACTGTACTTCATCTGAAAATATTTTTTAGGGGTTAAAAATTGTGTCATATAAGCTCATTTAGCAAAGAGAAGATGCTTTGCATATTGCAGTCTTCTCGTCTGTTTTTATAAATCATTCTGATTTGAGTTCTTATCGTGATAGGCAATAAATAAAAGATATTTGAAACTAGGAATTACAGACTCTGGTAAACTAATGAAACAACTAATTCAACTTGTCTTGGCTTCAAGAATACATTTCAGCAATAAGCATATGTGTATTGGATAACCACACTGGGATTTTTTGAGGCTTAAGTACAGTTTCAAAATGTCTGGAAGTCCTGCTTATACAAATTTATTTATTTATATCTCCTGGAGCCAAAGCTGCTGCTGCTGCTTATTATTATTATTACTAATTATTTAACTTTGATGTTCTAAGTTTGCCATAAAGGCAGTTTATATCCTCTACAAGAAGCCTCAGTTTAGCCAAAGGTTGTGTGAAGCTGCATGTAGGCAAAACAATTATTAACATGCAATGAGTTGTCTGTTCTTACTGACTGACATCAAAGAGGTGCCCAGAATCTCTAATCAGAAGCTCATTGATTTTAGCATTGCCTGATTACAGAAAAAAAATGTTACTGTTGCTTCTGTTAGACTTGATGGCTAACCTGCAAATTTAACTTTTGGTATGTATGTTTGCCCAGTGGTTTGTGTGGGCTTGTGTGTGCTTAGCTTAAGCCAGTTCTGAAGGTGCTTGGCACCTTAGAAGGTGTAGCTTTGGTACAAACAGACACAGTGTAATATTTTAAGCAATCAGCACACAGCAAAAATTCTGTGAAGCTAAATCAGTTGTCGTCACTGCCCCTTTTCCTTGCCAAATTTCTTCCTTCTGCTGCTGGCGAATGTGGACAGTGCAGAGCTTTGGAAAGGGTTTGAGGTATGGTGTGGCTTGGAGGAAAACTTTGCTAAGGGAAAAGCTTTCAAAATTGTTCCCTTCCTTTAGTAGGATGAAACTGAACCCCAAGTTTCTGCACAAAAAACGGGAGCCATGAGAACTCCCACATGTGTGCAGAGAGTGCAAGTCGACAGACTATTCAGGTATTTCTACTGACAAAGCTGGCAATTTTTTTGTTAGATTAGTTTTCTGCTGCCTTTGTGAGAAAACTTGTCTTCTCAAAATGAATGTGCTTCTGCACAGAGTTGAGCTTTAACAGATGAACATTTTCTGACCAAAGCAGGAAGAAAAGGAGAATACCTCATTCCTGATGGTCCTGCTAACAAACTGGTTATACATGAGGTAGCAAAGTGCATCCAGACCACAATCATGCTTATGCTTCAGTTAGTAGGAGTTACTGAAACTTTCTGCATTTGATAGATGTTATTTAAATAAGTGTGATAGGTAACAAGTAATGTCTAGTTGTTTCATACCATATTTACGTTCTTATCAAGGACATCTAACACTTAAGACAGGTTTCTGCGAATGCAACAAACTGCGAACACTGGTTCTTTTTCATGTGGTGATCAGCAGCATCATGGTAAACATAAGGGACTTGAACATTTTCTTTCCAATACACTTTTACAGAAAGTGTGAGCTTGTATCAGTCTTTCCTTTTCAATAATGTGCAGTTGGCAGATATACAGCTGCTTTGCAACATATGATTTGTATCTTAAAAAAAAAAATGTCTGGTATATAATGTGCAGTCACACACTCTACCAACATTACATGGCTCTCCTGCCTCTGTTTCTCAAATTGCTCAGCATTTGCCATTGTAAGACCTTAATTTCAGTTGTCCCACAGTTTTGGCAAGTTTATACCACTGGAGTTGAGATTTCCTGTATCTCTGGTTTATGTCTTAGGTTGAATTGTCTTGAATAACTTCAGCCCCCAAAGTTCTACTCTCGTAAAGATGAGGGTAGGGAAAATGCATTGTTTGGATTTTATTTTGATGATGTGGCTACTTTTTCTTTGGAAAGATCGAGAGACACTGTGCTTTGAAAGAAGAAACATGTAATGTGGGTTTTGCTTTGTTTTAATCAGGGTTTTCTTTCTTTCTTCCTGTCTTTCTGGTGCATTCATACTTTGACAAGGTGTATGCTTTTGAAGACTACTTTATGCTTTCTCATGTTAAGTATATTGTAGCTCTATGGAACTTTCAAAAGGGAGAGGACAATGTTCCCAGCAGTGCTGTCTCTTGGTTGAGTCCATGGATTACCACCATCAGTAAGGTCTAAGGTTGTTTTTCAAAGTCAGTCCAAGCAGTAGTGAGAAGGAAGTTAATGCAAACACAGGGAAGAGGGAAGCTAAATATTGGATGTAGAAAGGATCTCATGGAGTTCACAGGTTACATAAAGCTTAGGGGTGTTGGGGGAAACAAACGGGATTTGGAGCTGGACTGCAGAAATTGGAGACACCCTTACTAGGATTTGTTTGCTTGTGAGGTGGGAAGAAATGCAAGGGCATGAAATGGACTGGATGTGAAAAGCCTGGGAACTAAGTGAGGTTAGGCAAAGACAGCAGCTTTGTGAAAAAGGACCAAGGGTTCCTGGGGGAAAGCAAGCTAAACACAAGTCTGCAGTGAGCCATGTCAGAGATGAAAGCTAACAGCATATACTGATTGTATTAACAGGAGTGTCACCAGTAGATTAAGTGAAGGGGGTATTCCCCTTTTCTTGGCATGTTTCAGAGTGTGTTTGGTATACTGCATCCAGGTTTGGACACACGACATCACAAACACAGGAAGGATAGTGAGAAACTTGAGTGAGTCCATTTATAATGCAAGGGGGCGATCGAGGTGGAGCACACGCCTGCCCTATGAGGAGGGGCTGAGGGAAAAGGGTTTGTCCAGCCTGGCGAAGAGGCTCGGGGGGTCCTAAGAGCAGCCTTCCAATACCAGTTAGGAGGTTGTCAAGAAAACAGAATCATACCCTTTAAGAGGTCCATGGTGGTGTGAGAAGAGACAATGGGCACAAATCGAACGGGGAGGTATGTATGAGACATAAGGAAAAAAATTATTGCCATGGTGTCATGGTCTATTTGGGTATCTCAAATGTACAGGTCAATGTATTCTGTAAACGGAACTTCACTTTATGAGCTCATTA